TTCACATCGAATGTACCCGAATGCATATGCATGATGACCGTCTCTTGGTGCAATTCGTGGACTTCCCCTTGCTGAACTTGATAGGGACTCAAAGGTTTTGGGTTTCAGGGTTTATAAGGGCTTCTGAAAACGTCTCCCTTGATGTGAGCATTTCGTTTGAGTGGTTGTTCTGCTTCATTACAATCCAAGCGGCATTATGAATGCATTCCATGTGAACCACATTAAGCCGCCTGAATCTCCGGACCCACGCAACCCAGAGGGCTCAAAGCAATCGCAACCCTGCCCACAAGGCCACTGAACCCTAGTCCTTGTGCAGCATGACGGTAAGATCCGGAACAAGTCCTGCCATCGCCTTCTGCTCTCAACTTGCTGCAGGGTATGTTGGGGGGTCCGTCAACACCCCTCGACCTTAATACAGCAACGCTTGCTTGCTTGATTGTCTGTTTGTCTGCATGTGCTTGCACCTATAGTGCGGACCCCACTCTGACCCTCAGTTCAATATCAAGGTTGAGGACTCAGCATCGTTGGCCTTACAAACATATCCTAGAGACATTGAAGGCAAAATGGTTGTCAGTTGTCCCAACCTCTGTGAAAATGGGGGCACCACAGATCCCGCGTATTCGCGAAGAATGCCTTCCAGTTCAGGGGTGATGCAGGTATCTTGAGAGAGATCAGGTTTAGGATTCATGAAGCCCTGAACGAACCCCACTGTCCCAAGTTCTCGACGGCCTTGACGTTCGCCCTTGTGCGCCTCAGCAGCAGACATCGATGTCGCAGGGCAACCCTAAACCCCTAAAATTTTGCAGCAAAGCCGCCTCGTGAGCAGTTTTGCTTCTTGACAGGAGAGTCTACGTGAAGTGCAGACATGAAACTCATACATTTGGGTTGTTTGGATCTTGTCCTTAGCACTGAGTATGCGCGAAGTTGTCATTCGCAGGTATGTAGCACACCCTGTGACACAATTTGACATCCAGATTGTTTCGGTGCAACTCCGAGGTTTGTGTCTGTCCACTTTGCAGATGACATCCGTGAAGCGCTGGGATGAAATCTGCCGGCCGTTCGAAATAATTGTCAGTGTAAAGTGTATCAGCCACTTTAAGGTATCACTGCTGCTATTACCCCCCACTGTAGGTACTCACGTCGCTGGTTCTTGTGAAGGATGTATACTCCCAATTCCCTCCGAGTAGCAGCTAGAATCTGAGCCCGCCACGCAGCTGTAATTCTTAGAGTGCCCGCACACCCTCGCAATTCGGCCCGTTCAAACCTGCATAGAGACCAGGGCCGAGTCCCACTATGCGCAGGTTGGCAGTGCGCATATCCGCATGTCTTGGTTCGTTGTTCGAAAAGGATTTGGCTCCTGAAGGTTCGGGGTTTTCGGCTTGTAGGGTTTAGGGTATCATGTCTTTGTTCTGAACGACGTTGTCTCGCAGGAGCATGGCTGTCCTGGTTTGTACTCTACAGTGGCAACGATAAGCATCCCCACTCAGGCAGCGATCCCGTTCATGACAGTGGTGAAACGATTCATGTGCCACTAAACAGCTACTGCATCGACGCATGTAAAACTGTCCTAGAACGGTATGCCCCAAGCCAAAGATCTCTTTGACAGAAGATCGAAACCACGGTCGAACGAGTTGCTCCAAGTTAAGGCTCCCAAAGTGGAGCAAATGTGCCAAGCTCGATGAAGCTGCGCAAACAAGTCCCATGCCAGGGCCGGTGCTTGCTCCTAAGTCTTCACCCATGATGCCGTAGGACTTGAACCCTGGCAACCTTTCACTTTCCTGCGATCTCAAGAAGCGTAGGTTTAAACTCTTTCGGCTCGGGGCGTCTGGTTTCAGAGCGGCGCTCCGAGAGGTGTCAACCACTTCCCTCAACTCCTCATTTAAAGCTCTGAGTACCGTAAGCCACCTTAAACCCCAAACCCTAAACCCTAAACCCCAAACCCTAAACCCAGCGCGTGCATGCGCTTGCAACATGCTTTTGCCATTCAGCCAGAAGTAGCCTGGAGTGTCAACACACTGCGCGCCCGCTCACCCAACATGCCCCCAAAGCATCCGCAGAAGGGGTAGGGGTGTGACAAGGCGTTCATAGGGGCTTGTAGGGGCTTACCACGGGTGCATAAGGGGTTTATAAGCGGTTTCTGGGGATGTGTCGGGGGGCTTATGGGTTTGTAGGGGTGTATAGGGGCTTATCAGGGGTTAATGAAAGGGGTTTATAGGGGCTTTTCCTCTGGGTTTAGAGGGGTTTGTCGGGGTTTGTAGGGGTTGATAGGGGCTTATGAGGGGTTTATAGGGGTGTAAGAGGCTTATAAGGGGGATTGTAGGGGTTTACGTGGGTTCATAGGGTGTAAAGCGGCTTAGAAGGGATTCGTAAGGGTTTAGAAGTGTTTATAGGGGAGTATAGGGGCTTATAAAGGGGTTAATAGGGGTTTATAGGGTTGTTTTTTTCGGGGTTTGTGAGGTGGGGTTTGTATCAAAGTTATTGGTGTGAGTACATATGGTTCCTTAATCAAAATTTTTCGCCAGCATTTGCATCTACATATTCATGTACACACATATACACATATATATATATACATGGTACGCAATAGAAAACTACATCGTCCTGCATCCTGTGGGTGTTGCCCTAACCTAATACAGCATTTTCTGGAGCGCAAACCTGAAATCGACTCGGCTACATGCATCCCCTAGAGATGCTTTTTCAGGGGGTCAGTGTTTCGGGCGTAGGGCATCCTGCAAAGCATCCCGTAAATTCAGTTTCCCCTACATCCTTGCACCCTGAAACTGAAAAAACAAGACCCCAAAATGCTAAGAAACCACAATCCCTACACAACCCCGCCAGAACCCCGAAACCCCGGCACTCGAAGCCCCCCAAACCACCATATGCCCTCCCAGCAATGCGCCGAGGCACAATGAACCCAGCAGCGCTTGCGGCAGCTGCGGGCGCGAGACAGGCGTGGGGGTGTTGGGGCCGCGGGGGCAGGGGGTGTAAGGGTACCAGGGGCTCAGGGTTTAGGAGTTTTAGGCTTTGGGTTTGTGTGTGGTTCAAGAGTTCAGTTTTTCGGGCGGGGGGGAGGGGGGGTTTAGGGATTCGGGGTTCAGGGCTTGATCAGGGGACGAAGGGTTTGCATTTCGGTGTTTAGTGTTCAGGGTGCAGGGTTTGTATAGCCGAAGATTCATGACCGTGCTTGCTTCAACCCCCTGCGTGACCGGTCACCGCCCCGAACTGCAGAGCTTCGTCTTCAAAGTGTGGATCTTCGCGTTTTTACAAGCCCTATAGAACCCTAAATCCTCAGCCCTATACCCTTAAATTCTAAACCCCTAAACCTAAACCCTAAACACCCATGTACGCCCTAAGCCCCAAGCATCACTTCTGGGGTTGGGCACCCCCAAACCTACACTGAAGGCCCACGTGTGCATGTACTTAAATCGGGTATACTTGGGCCTTAAAGTCTAAGGGTAAACTACTTCCTACATAATATTGTGACTATGAGGCTCATAGATACACACTGTTGAGGTGCACGGACCCATGGGATTATACACCCCACTTGCCCTGTTCAAGAGTAGTTAAAACAAAAAGATAAGCATGGCATAAGCCCTATCAACTCCTTCAAGTTCAAGGAGAAAGAGTCAATGCGAAACTGGGCTTCACAGTGAGCATCGTGGCAAGAGAAGGGGCAATGAACAGGACCTTCTAAACCGTAAACCCTAAACCCTAAACCCTAAACCCTATACCCTAAACCCTAAACCCTAAACCTTCCTCAGGGAGCTGGCAGCTTCTTTTCAGGCCAGAGTGCAGGTGGAGGGCCAACCCGAGAGCTCCTGAGCTCGCTGCTCCGGGACCGCCAGGCTCGAGGCCGCTCACACCACTCCCAGCCGCCAAGCAGGAAGAAGCCGGGCCGGGAAGTAGCACCACACGGGTCATCGTAGTGCCCGACACCCGCGACGAGGTCTCCGAGGAGTTCAACGCAGTCGAGCTGATGCCAGGCCGACTCGGGGTTTTGAAACCCTGAGAGGGCAAAATTGGTATTTGTGGTTTAGGGCCTGTTTAGGGTTCAGGGTTTAGGGGGCTGGGGTTGCGGGGTTTAGGGTTTAGGGGTTTAAGGTTTAGGGCTCAGGGTTTATGGATTTATACCCTCCTTGTTGGCCCATCGAGGCTGAAACCGGAGATGCGGTCCCAGCCTTGACCTCCTTGCCCGGTCGAGGGCTCCCTGGATAGGTTAGGCCTACCTCACCTCGGTTGCTATGAGGATACACTTTTTACCCTAAACCCTAAACCCTGTTTCGTTGTTTTGGGCCCCAATCCCTCCATGACCTTTTCTATCCCTACAAACCACAAGTGTTCTTCGTATCTTGCAGTGAAATCGACTTCCCCACCCCCCTGCCCCTGGAAAGGTTCATCCTGTATGTATGTGTAGATCTATCTATGCATCCGCCCTTGGAGTGCCTGTGGGAAGTTTTGGGGAAATGATTGGGGCTTAGGTTGTGAGACTTGTGGTTCGTATGTAGTGGGGCTGTTGGGTTTTGGCTACCGCAGGGTCAGGGCACAACGCTTAAGTTGTGCGACGTGCTGATGGTTGCTGGGAGGATGTCGTCGTTCAAACCTAAACCCTGAACAAACCCTGCACTTTACTAGGAGGCCCTTTGTGGACTCCTTTTTGCAAGTAACCAACAGAAGAGAATCCCAAGGTCCGATCCACGAGCCGTAAACCCTAACTAAACCATGGACTAATCAGGTTTTTGGGCAACCTTGGGCCGCAGTCCCACACTAAGAAAGGGCTCTGTGATGTTGGAGAGCCAACGCGCTTTGCGACCTCAAGCTGTTTTTTAAGCTACTGAGCTACCTTACATATACCCTCAACTCTCAACCCTAAACGCTAAACCCTCAGCCCCTTTCACCCTTAACCTTAACCCTAAACCCTACCCTCCCCCCCGACCCCCCACCCCCAACCTCTTGAGGTCCTGGCAGCTGCAGAGGCGGCTGGTTGCAACGTCTCGGCCCTGATGGGCTCGATGCTGAGTTTTCGGGCCTGCTCGGTATAGAGGTGGTGTTGGGGTTCAGGGTTGAGTTTGAAGGTGCCAAGAGGCTGAGCTTAGGTGTTCAGGGTTGATGTCCACATCGGTTCTACAGAGAGAGAACAAAAACGAAGAAGATAGCGAACAAAAAGAGAGAGCGAAGCAGGATCCTGTCAGAGTCCTTCTTGGTTGTAGGCGTGAATCGGCATTCACAAAGCCACCAACCCGCCCTCCTCGAGCCTCTTTTGCAGAGATTTCTTCTGAAAGCCTGAATGGTCACAACCCCTCCCAACTTGGCAACACCCAGGAAGGTTTCAGAGTTTGCTGGCTTAGGGTTTACGGCGTGATCATACGGCCTTTATGAGTATTATTATTACTACTATTATTATTGTTATTGTTGTCAGTTAGACCCTAAAACCCGATAGTTTTCTGGTGCCTGTGTCAAAGGCGGTGCCGGTGCCCAGCCTGAAGGCCAAGGTCAGGTTTAGGGGAATCCGGGGGTCGGGTGGGGCTTGGGGTGGGGTGGGTTCGGTTGATCCCGAGCTTGGGTTTTAAAGGGCCCGGGGTTCAAATCGGGTTTGGGAATCCGGGGCCGGGCGGGGCTTGGGGCGGGCTCGGTTGGGCCCGAGCTTGGGTTTTAAAGGGCCCGGGGTTCAAGTCGGGTTTGGGAATCCGGGGCCGGGCGGGGCTTGGGGTGGGGTGGTTCGGTTGGGCCCGACCTTGCGGGTTTAGACGGGTCCGGGGTTCCAATCGGGTTTGGGAATCCGGGTCCGGGTGGGGCTTGGGGTTCGGTTGGGCTTGACCTTGTTTTAAAAGGTTTTAAACGGCCTGGGGTTCAAATCGGGCTTGGGCTTCGCTGTTTGGGGAAGGGTTTTGGGTTTAGGGTTTAGAGTTTAGGGTTTAGGGTTTAAGAGTTTTTTGGGGGGTTTTAGGGGCCTGCGAGGCGGCCCCGGGTTCATGGGGTTTCAGGGCTCATGTTTTGGATTTCTAGCGCCAGCTGGTTAACTTTGAGAAGGGACACACCCGAGCACAGGAGCCTACATAACAATCGTCAGTGTTCGTTCTCCCCATTTTCAGACCCCAACATAGTTGAACTAGAATTGCCCAAAAGTTCCGTTCCAATTTCAGGGCCCTATATGACCCGAGTTTTGCATGCGAGAGATTGCCTGTCGTTTAGGGCTTATAAGAGTCTAGGGTTCAAGGTTCAGGGCATACCCAAGTTGTTTCTGTTTTTTTGTTTGCCTTACCCTCGTTTCAGTCTCGCCCACGATGTTGAAGGTCGTACATGCCGACCTTCACTTCACGAAGCTTTGAAGTCCCAAGCATGAAGACCTTAGACCCCGAACCCAAACTCAAAACCCCGAAGCCTAAATCCTGAACCCCAAGCCCTGAACCCTAAACCCTGAACCCTAAACCCGGACTTGGGATGTTCCCGAATTCCCCTTATACTAACAGCTCCTCAATAGGGATTATAGTACCCCCAATTATAAACCCTATGAAGGAGCTCTTAGCATGAGGGGAACGTCCCAAGTCCGGACTCCAAACGCTGGGTCCCTTGGGGGCACCCGTCGTTTCTCGACCTGAAGGTGCCGAGGAGGCCTCCCCCGGAGAGGCGCCTCCCGCTAGGGAGGGTTGGGAAACCCTAAGCCTAGGGGGTTTAGGGTTTAGGGATGTTTAGGGTTTAGGGTTTAGGGTGTAGGGTTGAACTATAAACCCTAAGACCCTGAATCCATAAACCCTAAAATCCTGAAACCGCAACCCTAAGCCCCTGAAGAACTTTTCGTCGGGCTTTTGAGGTGTTTCGCCTGAGGATTTTGGGAGAGTCGGGATCCTACTTGGTGCGTTTGCTCCATCTTGGTGCCTTGGTCACTGGTAGCGCTCGTGATTGTAGGACTTCCAGGGCTTGCTGTTTAGTTTTCAGGCTCTGGCTTTGGGGTTTCGGCAGTTTAGGGCTAAGGGTGTAGTTATATGGGAGTTTCTGGAGGCGCTTTAGACGAGCAGGTGGCCAGGCAGCAATCACGTGGATCTGAAGTCATCCAGTTGCCGCCCCTCACCACGTTAAGCCCTGAGTCGGATGACTCTACGTGACCCTACAACCCTATCTCAGAAGCTAGCAAACATAATATGAGCAGGTTGTCTTTGTTGAGAGGGGGGGCACCGGCTCTGTGGCTCTTTATCTTGGGTACCTGGCAGTCTGCACTTCTGAATGTAGGAACTCAGAAGCCCACACTGCAGTCGACCTCGAAAGCCCTGTCTCATCTCGCTGCATCATCTGCCAGTATGTCTTTCTGATTGTGCTGGCCACTTGGCCCAAACCCCAAATCCTAAACCCCAATTTCTAAAACCCCATTTCCTAAACCCTAATTCCTAAACCCTGAACCCTAAACACCCAAACCCTAAAACTTCTAGTGAGGCCCTACCGAGGGTAAGATGGTCCATCGTGCCTCGCTCCGGAAGTAGTTCGACTTAACGGACCATCGGGGCGAAGAAGGCTGTCACCTTCTTCCGCTAAGGTGGAGGCTGCCGCAGGACATGTGGGGGTGTACGATTATAGCGGTACCTTGATGGAGTCCTTTTGTAAGGGGATCCTACCATTTGGGGGTCTACATTGGGGGTCCCCTACCGTCGTAAACTCCCATGTGGCCTCGGCGCCGGGCACACAAAGGTGGCACTCCGCCTACCCACTACGCAGCGTCAGGTCATCCTGGCCATGTTCGGCCGGGCGACCACTGCGCTGACAATTGAAGAGTGAGCTTTTCTCATGATGAGTTTGATATGAAAGCTGAAGTGGAAGAGAGCACATTGATTTTGCAAGAAATGTCTATGTAATCCCGGTAGTAATCCCTCAACCCCTGCACCTGATAAACCCTAGGCACACTGACCCGTAAGCCTAAATCCAAGCTTTTAGAACTCTAAACCCCTGACCCTCGTAGCCCCAAGCCTCAAAAACCTCAAGCCCTGACCCCTAAGCCCTAAACCCTAGGTCTTATCAATCCCAAACCTCAGGCCCTACACCTTATCCACCCTAAACCCTGACTCCCCAAAACCCCAAACCCCAGAAGGCCCACAGCCTGAACCCTCAACCCTAAACCCTAAACCCCAAACCCTAAACCCTAAACCCTAAACTCTAAACTCTAAACCCTAACCCTAAACCCTAAAGCCCACATCCCGAAGCCCACCCCCTCCTCAGGCCTGGCGCGCCATGGCTGCCTTAGAGGAGCAGCTGGCGCGGGAGACCGACTTCTCGGAGGCCCCCGAAAGCCTTGTGGTTTAGGGTTTAGGGTCTAGGGTTTAGGGTTTAGGGTTTAGGGTGTGAGAAGCTTATAAGGTTGACTTGTTTCTCTTTTCCCTATTTTTGTTTCAAGATTCCCTCATTAAACTAAAAAGGGTGCCCTTATTATGCTATGGTTAAGGGGCTACCAAGTTGAGGACTTTGCGGGCTTTTGGGGTTGGTTAACATGGAAGGCAGATTTCTGAGACCTTAAATTCCATATACATGATTATAGATATATATACATATATATATATATATGTATACATGATTATATATATATATATACATATATATATATACATATATATATATATATACATATATATATACATATATATATATATATGCATGGGCCTTGTTTGAGAACAATTGCTCCGTGTGCCCGCGCTGTGCCAGGACATCTCAGTGCGGCAGGCCCGAGAGGGTTCTTGGGGTTTCCGGGATTCAACGTCAGTGCTTTCATCCAACGCCGAAGCTGGCTCTCCGCTAATTACATGCTACATTTTCAGAGATGCCAGGAGGTACTACCTCCATACACTTGTAAGCTTGCCTGAAGGCCTTGTTCCCTCTTTCCCTTCGGCTTCGCATTCACCTCATTTCCGCATTTTCTGGGTACTGGAGAACTTTGCAAACCCTAAACCCGAAACCCTAAACCCTAAATCCTAAGCCGTGTTTACCCCAAACCGCCTGCAGCAAGGCGTCGACCATGCTGAGGCACATGTTGACGTCCAGGGCTTGGCATTTCTTGGTAGCCCGGTAGTACCCGTCACCCTTTTTGGGGGCCTGCGTTCCCTTACAAAGTAACCAGCCATATGGGATGGATAACAGTGACTTGTCATTAGCACCAGATGACGCGGGGTTGATTGATATGACTGTTATTGGAGAGTGTGTAGGGTTCAGGGTGTAGCTCTTCGCGGTATAGATGGCTCCTGAACAATCTTGGTGTCTATGCATGCCGCGGCTTCTCGGGGGCACTAGAAATATAGCGTGCTGGCTGCTAGCTGCTAGTGTGAGGGAATTAGGCAGCCTATAAGATCCCTCAAAGGGTTAGGTAAGGGATATAGGGTGTTGCATGGCTTTGAGGTAGGGTGCGATAGCCCAACAAGGTGGAAGTTCTTTATGTTGTTGGCCTTGTCTCCAAAAGCCACAATCCTGCGGGTGTTTGGGTTTAGGGTTTGAGGTCCGAAATGTCTGTGTGTCCTTTAAGGCCGCACTGGGGCAAGTGATCAGCAGCAAGCGTAGAACTACCGCCAGAAAGTGTGGCATCAGTGTTCTCCCACCAGACAGAACGAGAACGCAACCAGCATGTTTTTAGTTGGCCTTCATGAAGGTAAGTAGGTACCTGAAACGGGACCCAGTGCATGGCATCGCTTGTGGCAGATGGTTCAGACACACCCTATAATTAGAGTGAGCCTTACAGCCCAAACTAAAGTCCAAGCACCTGAACCCGCAGCCCTAAATCTAAATCGTAAACTCCTAAACCCTAAGCTCCAACCTCTTGAGCCTTAACCTCCAACCTCCTGAGCCCTAAACCCTTGCACTCTGGCTTCACCGAGGACCGCAGCTCATGACAGCAACCCAGCCCTCATGCAGATGGCTCAGGCAACGGGGATGACCTCCTTTAGGGCTTGAGGGTTTAGGCTTAGAGGGCCTTTCGAGGATGCTCCGTAGCGACCTTATTCCCAAACAGACACCACCATCGAGAAAACATCGAAGATTCTGCGAAGACTTGAACCTTAAAGGTCTCAAACCCTAAGCCCTGCGCCTCCACCACCGGAACAAAGAAGAATAACTAAACGCACAGAACTTTTGACCTGAGTGCCAGGCCCACAAACCCCAATCCCTAAACCCAAAACCCAAAACCCGCCATCCCCTAAAGCCCTAAACTCCGGCCCCTAAACCTTAAACCGCCAAACCCCAACCCCCGAGTCGCCCTGCAGACCATGGTGCCGGACTTGAAGAAGATTTGGGGCTTCGAGCCAACGCTTGGGCCTAAGCTTCCGGGGTTTAGGGCTTGCAGGGTTTAGGGTGTTTAGGGTTTAGGATTCAGGGTTTGAGAAAGGTTGCTAAACCCTAAGCGAGCCCATCCTTGGCCTGAAACTTTCACATGAACATGTGGGCCTAGCGCCTGATGGGTAGGGAGCACCACCACCGACCAAAAAGCGCCCTTCACCACCCCCCTCCCCCTCCCTCAAGCCCTATACGCACAAACCCTAAATCCTATAAACCCTAATCCCTATACCCTAATCCCTAAACTAAACCCTAAGACCTAAACCCAGCCCTAAGCAAAAGCCAGGTTTCAGGGTCAAACCTGAACAGCCCTAGGAAAACTCAAGACCAGCACTCGAAACCCACGAACTAGGTGTGATTCATGGCCGTGAGGCCCGGACCAATCAAACATACCGAACCACAAGTCAAACAAGCGCCCCAATCCCGCAAGCCCCAGACCTGAAAAATCCCCACACTTGAAACCCCCTAAAACCTAAACCCTAAACCCTAAACCCTAAATCCTGAAACCCTAAACCCTAACCCCAAACCCTGAACCCCAATTAAACCCTAAGCCATAATCCCTAAGCCCAAAGCTCTGAAGCCGCTGCGTTCCTGAGGAGGGATCATCTGAAGGGGCTGCTGGCCATGAAGGCCCAGGGCTAACGACGTGAGCTTGAAGAAGGGTTTAGGGCCAGGGTTTAGGGTTTAATTAGGGTTCAAATTAGGGTTCAGGGCTTTGAGCAAGGATCTAGGGCAAAGAATAGGTTTAATGCTTGCCACAGTTGTTAGGACTTCCTCGTGCATCGGCGTCTGCTTTTGCGAGTTCTTTGTTGGGTTGCTGATCTACAGTCGATGGCCGCAGGCACGTGCTGCCGGCCAATGCTTTGATACATACGTTCGCCCTGCTAATCCTGAACCCTAAATGACAAACCCTAAACCCTGTGTGTTTCCAAGAACTTGTAGCTTAGCACCTGGGATCTTGGCCCCCAGCAAACTCTTGCGTGCCCTATACTTGATTAAGCCCTACGTTTTCCCTAAAGCCTTAAACTCTTACAGCCCTGAACGCTAGCCCGGCTAAACCCCTCAAATCTTGAGGCCCTAAACCCTAATCCCTTGCATGAAGGCGGGATCCTCAGCCAGCTCATGAGTCGCCTCCGCCGAAGAATCGCTGAGCGCGCCTCACGTTGCATGAGCATGGGGTTTAAGGTTTAAGGTTTAGGGTTTAGTCTTTAGGGGTTAGGGGTTTAGGGGGAGGGGCTTTGGAGGTTTCAAGGGACTTGCTACATCCCTCGACACCGATCTACGGGTTAGGCTTGCCAGCTTCGAATGCTTGCTCATGCGAATGCCGTTGGCGCGCTGAACAGCCCAGATGTGCAGCTTAGTCGAGGCGATAGAGACATCAGACAGCACCGGGGGCACAGGCTAAAGGTCACCATGTAGACATACCAGTTCCCCCCTTTTCGTGCTCCTTCCTGTCGCAAGTGCTGCGTGCTGCCTGATGTGGTGATCTTGCGTCTCGGCCAGAACCAGCACCCTAAACCCTCAACCCTCAACCCTAAACCAAACCCTACAGTCAGCCTTAAACTTAATTGCAAGCCCTAAGCTCCAAACATCCCAAAGCCTCCCAGATCCTAGGCCCCGTATTCCCAAAAGTAAGTAAGGGGAAGCCTGAATATACCCCCAAATGCTATACTCCTTACGATAGAACCCCCTCCCACCCCAAAAGGGCACCTGTGTGTGTGGAAACCTCCCCAGACGCTTGGAATCTTCGATCCTGCATGGGCTTGGCGTTTAGGAGCCCACTAAACCCTCTAAACCCCCAAATCCCCTAAACCCCCCTAAGCCCTAAATTCAAGAGCATGAGGCCCCAACGCCCAAAGGTAACAAGGGTTTAGGGCTTATTGTTTGGGTTCGAGACTTAGGCTTCTGGGGTTGAGGGGTATAGTGTAGGGTTTAGGGTTTAGTCGGGAGGACCTCTGGCTGGGTCTTAGACGTGTGTCGTCACAAGTTAGTGGCAGTTCTCGAACTCAGGATCCTTTTCTTGGGTACCCTACATATAAGGCCTGCTCATGAGAATCCCAAAAAGGGACCCTAATTTCGAGAACTGCAAAGATATACCTCTTCGCGTGATCGAAGCCGAGCAAGCGCGAACCACAGGAGCTGATGGTTGAACCCTAAGCCCGAAACCCTAAACCCTGAAGCCTAGACCCTCCCTTTGTAGCATTAATTAGAGCCCCGTCCTTTTCTTCGGAGTTGTACGGTACTAGAGTTTCGAGTCCCTGGAAACGGCACATGGACCGTATCTGGAGTCCTCAGTCAGATTTGAAGGCCACGTGCTTGGGAGTTATGTACACCAAGTAAGCTGCACCTAGGGCCCTAAACCCTAACCCCTGAACCAGAACCCCAGACTGCACAAGCTTGAAGTTGCTTTCAATGCGCTGCTTCGTGTTTTGTAGCCTGCTGGTTGATGTTCCAGTGACACCTTGTGCAACTTGCCAGCTTGCCGCAGCAGCTCCTTTTCTAGCAGGGCAAGGGAAATGTTTTGATGCCCATGGCTCCGCCTAACTCTGCTGCCAAGCTGCTTGCGAAAGCTGCCTTTTCAGCCGCCAGTGCCCTTCTTGCGGTGGCTATCCAAGGGTGCGGTTGCGACAAAAATGCCATGGCCCTGTGCTCCCCCCAAGAGGCTGGGAAGGCCTTCGGAGTAAGTAGCTTTCAGTTTCAACTGGTCTTCAGAGGATCTTAACCTCCTAATTAAACCCGAAACTAGTCAACCTAAGCCCTACACCCCAAGCAAGGGCTTGAGGGCCATCATGTTGCCGAGTCCTCTGGGCACCATCCAAGGAGGGCTGCGCTGCATTGAAAACCTATGCAGACTGCATCAAGGCTGCTGACTGCTGCTACTACCCCCTGGGGCATGGGAAGAAGCTCGGGCTCGCCAGTGGTTGGTTTAGGGTTTTGGGGTTTCTAAGGTTCAGGGCAACAGATAGAATAAACGTCGTTGCTAAAAGAACATATATATATATATGTATATCTATATGTGTATATGTATATATGTATATACATATATATATACACATGGTATACACGCTTAAGGCTTGCACATTAGACGTACACGTCAGTTTCCTTCCTGCAAGCCCAGTGGCTGCAAAAGGAGGGTCTACGATGACTTCCCCGACCTCGAGGCCGCGGCCACCTGGCAGCGTTTAGGGTTTAGGGTGTAGGGTTTAGGGTTTATTTGTGTGCGCAAAGTGCCTGGTACATGCTGGTTATGAGCTACAGAACAGAATGTCACACTGTCTGGGCTGTTTAGGGCTTAGCGTCTAGGGTTTACCTAGAGGACCTAGAGTATCCTATGTACCGGAAAAGGTGGAACCTGCCTCAACATTAATGTGTGCATTTATTCACCTTGCAAAACAGTATAGACAGTACATGTTACTCTAGGTCACATAAGTTACGCCCAGGGATCCCGATAGGTGCTTTCTTGGAGAAATGGACCACTGAGGCCAAGCTGTTGGACGCCTCGTGTACCTTCCAAGATCCCTGTGCCCCCCTGCGGTGAGCCGGGGAATGCTTCGGATGTCTGGGGCTCGGAGTACGGAGTGCAGCAAGGCATCCAAAACCCCAAACCCGAAATTCTAAACCCTACACCCTGAACCCTAGACTCACCTGTAACCTGCTCTAGTGTACCATGATCTTCCTACTTCCTGGACCCTTTCGGGTGGGGCCTGCGTTGTTGCAGACTAATTGCAGGATCCCCTTGTAATAAGGACCCCAACAAGGTAGCCCTCAATAAGGACCCCAACATGGTTTAGGGTCTAGGGGTGTAGGGGTTTAGGAATTTCGGAAACCCCATGCCTCCTTAGGGTCTATAGTTCGGATTTGAAAGACAGACCAAATCGCCCTCCGCCTAGCACTTCAATAGTCTTCTTGCGTATACTCTAGACTGTGGACTTAGTCTGGTATGCTACAGCATCCTAATGCAGAAGAACTCCGACGTTTGCACAACATGCGCAGCTCTTGCCTGCAACAGAGAAAATTTCTCCTGGTTGGTGAGCTTATAGGGCTTAGTGCGTAGGGGTTAGGTCCCACTGTTTGCCTGTTCAGAACTGATCACCGCTACAACTGCATGCCGGTTGAAGAGTAGCTGTAGAATTGAAGCAAACTGCAACCAGAAAGTCTTTTGTAAACAAAAGCAATGGTAAGAGAAGAGCAGCCGATGGCTGCCAGCCAAGCTTTCAAGCCCCATGTCCTATGTGGGGTGGAGTCCTTCAGCATTCTGAGGGCAACAATCTACAAGCCACTGAGCCTTGCAACCCATGTGACAGTGCCGAGTGCTTACACCCTGAATCCCTCAACCCCACATCCTAAACCCCACCATGTGTGCTCAGATCCTTGATGCTCAAGCTTCGCAAGATCGACTTGAGAGCTCATTGCAAGCCTCCCCAACCCTAGCCCGAAAAGCCGGAAGCCGGAGCACTACAACACAAAAGCCGGAACCCAACCCCCCCCCCCCCTCCACACACACACACACACACATACACACACACAATATTGCAGCCAAGATGGCACGAACATCTTTCGCACACAAGTCTAAAGACAGCATCATGTTCTTCATCTGTCTAAGCCACATCGGGCAAGTAATGGTCATCAGACGCGTTTCGCAGCAGCTCTCTTTTTTTGGGGGGGTGTTGTGTCGATATCAGCTTCATCTGATCTTCGATGGACATGCCACTTTCAACGACAATCCCAGCTGCACGTGACTGCGCCCAAGGACTTGTCAAGGGATTTCGGCCCCAGGCTATGGCGACGGGCCTCATCAGTAGAGTGTCACCATGCCCTTCCTCTATATCCCCGCTATCATGTGGCGACGTTCACTTCAACACGCAACATCATGGTTAGGCACAACAGTCATCCCACTGGCAATGCAAAGACTCACATCACTCCTTTTGGAACAAGGGTTGTCACACACACACACACCAAAAAGAAAAAGCAAAGAACTGAAACAAACCCGGCGCATGGCTAAGGATTTGGGCTTTGGGTGTTCGGGGCTTGGCTTGGAGTTCCCAGATTTTGGGATGTAGGGCTGTAGGATTTTAAGGCTTAGCCTTTACTTCGTCAACCCTAAACCCTAATCCCAAAACCCGAAAACCAACCCTATGGGCCAAACCTCAACTCCAGAAACCCGAAACCCTAAACCCTATACCCTATAAACCCTAAACCCTAAACCCTATAAACCCCAAACTTCTGCGGATCCGGGCCCTCGACGATCCAAATGTCTGTGCGGCTGGAGGTCTCGCTGCTGAGTGGCAGGAGCCGTTTCTAAATGAGGATTTAGGGTTTAGCGTTTAGGGTTTAGAATTTGGAGCCCTAAACCCTAAACCCTAAACTTTTTGTGGGGATTAAGGGTTCTGGGTTGAGGTGGCTTGGGTTCAGGGAGGCCTTTTTCAGAAACACCTAGTCTATGGCTAGGTGTGCAATCTACAGTACAAACCCAACCGCAAGCGCTTCCCAACCCAAGAGGAGCTTCGCGGCTTTTGCGTTGTAACATTTTTGAAGGGTTTAGGGTTTAGAAACTCCCGGAGACCTACCTCAAAGGTTCCTTGGGGCCTGGCCCTATGAAAACACTTCCAAAGAGACACGCGCGAACCTTCAAGTAATGTAGAGGTCGGAAGAATTACTAATAGAGTTCCCTTATGGTCCCTACATAACTAATAAAGCTATAGCAACTCCCAAAACCCTATTTTCATCATTAAGGCCCCCCATAGTAATTAGGTGTGACGGGGAGTCTTGCTCGAAGCCGTGCGCTCTTAGGCTCCCATCTCAGGTTCAGTTCAGAACTCGAGAGTTCTTAGGGAGCGGGTAGGTAACCTTCAACCGTTTTGGTTCTTTCGAATCCTACGCTATATACCTCTTTTGGGCTAGGGTATTCAGCCCCCACGGGGTGTATAAGCCGAAAAGAAGCCGTAGGAGCACCGTCGTGGAGGCAGGAATGCCGGAAAGATGTTGGTGCAAAGCAAGAGGAATGCTTGCCACAAAGACGCTGAACTACCATGAAAGCCCTCTAAGACCCAAGCCAAACCCGAAACTCAAAACCCCAAATCCTAAACCCGAAACCCTACATCCTAAACCCGAAGCCGGGAACCCTTA